AGATTTAAAAATATTCATCCATTTAAATACATAGGAAGAAAAAAAGGAAGAAAACCAACAATAGCCGACAGCAATCAAAATCTGTTAGATAGTGATATTTGATGTTGTTACACTGTAATACATTGATGGACACTTTACAAAGTAGGTACAATATTTCTACCTAGTTATTCGTGTGACACTGTTGACACCATTTCAAGTGTCAGCTCGTTGCATTTCACTTTTTATTAAAAAATCTTTGCTAGATTGTTCCATAATTTTTATGTGTATAAAATTGATTCAACTTTTGTCGATACCTCAAGTAATGAAATTCATCTTGACTTATCTCACTGGGATTTCCCTAGACTCTAGTTGTCAGCTGCCAAGAAAATTTTCCCCAAACTCTTATTTCTTTTCTCTGTGAAATTTACCTTTGTCGTATTGTGACCGATTAGAGAATGATGTCGCTCATGTATCCTACATAAGAAAGAGTTAGAAAACTAGAGAAGTAGTTTGTTATTTTTTTTCGTTCTATGATGGTTTGTTTTTCTTCCTCGAATTCACATAACATTTATTTGTTCTGTCTCAGCAGATTTTCCTCTTTGATATCCACGACTGCAATGAGATTCAGAATAGGCAAAGAGAAGAGATGAATGTAGCAGCGTACTTCTAACCGTAATAAGCAACTCAAAATACACTCTTTGGTCAAAAAAATCTAGAGAAAATAACTTTGAATGGATGTTCACACAATGGAGCTTGTCGACATGAAGATTCATGAATATAAAGAGTCGACGATGTGCAGACGCTAGTATATAACTAGTGTTGAGTTTAGACAATCTTGTTAGTCAAGTTCTTATTGCTTCGACGCTTGTTCTTTTCCTTACAGCATGTTATCCATCTTGTGTGTTGTTTTTTCCACGAGATGCAAAAACAAATGGTAACATATATTCTTCTACTATTTTTCTCTTCTACATTACGTAGTATCGTCTTATATAAGTTGTACGCATCGTAGACATAGCTGAATAATTGATCTGAGTAAAAATGTATATCAGTTGATGTTATATGACTATTTTATAGACAGTGATTTTTCTTTATTAAATGAGTGGAGAATTTGATTTTCGAGCATTGCTGCTCAAAATACAAGATCTTCTCTCCGACAATGATCGACATCGTTTTGTTTTTCTTCTTGGCGAAGACATTCCCAGATATTTGCGCGACGATCCTTCACTTAGTGGAACACTTCGTGTACTAGAGTCTCTTTTCGAAAAGGCAATAATTAGCAATCAAGATTGTGATTACCTTATTAAAGCATTCAAGAAAATACATTGTAATGATGCTGCGAAACGGCTTCAAGGTTCGTGTCATCTGTTCCTTATATAGATTCACATTTAACGAGCTTTTTATGTTATTTTTTTCAGAATATCAATTAGCATTGAAACATTTTAGTCAACGAAGTTGCTCACTTCAAGATATTCTTTTATTTGACAACGACGACGAGGAAAAGATGGCTTCAACCAGTTCGTATCAATAGACGGCCTTATTTTGTTTACGATCTAAATTTTCTTTCAGGACTGATGCGTATTTCATCTGATCTAAATTCGACTAGAGATCATTCGACCTCGATGACAGATCTAAATCTCGAAAATAAACCACCGAATTCATCACTATCTGTGCATAGTGAAATGGAAGAGCACAGTCATGAATCTCGATGGACTCATCGAATATTCAAACGACCTTTGAACACTCATAGATGGATTTTACTTATCAGTAGTATTCTGATTCTGTTGAGCTTTTCATTAGTGATTTATCTCTGGACAAGTAAGTAATACAAGAGGGAATCTGTTGCAGACAAGTCTCTAGATTCATGCATTGAAATTGGATAACTTTCATGAAATAGATAGCTGATTTGTCATTAGTTGGGAAAATTTCCATTGTGATTATGATGCGAAACCATTCATAGCATTACAACAAATCATTTTTGATTTATTTTCGTGAACATTCATTTATTCAAGAAAAAAATGTAAATTTTGAATCCGATCCAGCTTGAACACAGTCAATTACGAAAAAGAATAATCTAACCTCATTCTACTCTAACAACCTCTAAACATCAAAAGTTATGTCATATTATGATAACTTTCTGGAACTAATAGAGTTGAATATCGATGCCATTCGAGTCTTATATCACATATCTAGTGTTGAAAGTGTAAGTTCTAAAAGAGATAAGTCTCAATGAATGAAATCTGTAAAATTAGACTTTTTATCGATGAACATTTGCTGTCTAGTCAGATTGCCATTCATCAAACCGAAATCGATTTTCTTCTCCTAGTTTTGATGTCTTTCTGTGTTCATAGACGAGTACAGTCAATTACAATGAAACACTGCATCTGTGGTTTTGCTTTCCACTTTGACAAACTCTGCGAAAAGCTGTCGTGTTTCAGTCAGACATGAAATCGATGTATTTGATCACATGTTTCGTCTCGTTATCGATAGATAACTCTCCGAATGATTAACTGGCGTCTTAAAAAGTAACGCTTATATAAATACTAGAAGATAGAAAGTTCACATACTATTAGGTGTGAATATGCTCAACCGAATAACGTGAGAGAGATGGATGAAATAAGTGTCGAGAACTTGGCTGAGAAAGTGAGTTGAATAAAGACAAGAATGTCAATTCTGACTCTGATAGAGTTGAAAGTTATTTGATATCTTGATTGCATTCGTAGTCTTGAGAGGATTATAGTGAGTGAAACGAACCTAAATTTTGCTCTATTACAATTAGTATTTAATATGTTCTTCACAAAAATATTCCTTAATAAGACCGGAGATCGAACGAAGACATTTGCTTTCAACTTCAAGTATTTTGGTGTTTTTACATATGAGAAGACATTCTCATATTTTATTGAATAGAGTCGAAAAAAGCCGACATATTTCTAAGAGAAAATTATTTAGTATCCTATAAATAATTACAATGAAAATATTGTATACAGTATACTACAAGAAGCTTCACAATAGCCACATCTTCATTGATCTCTTGGATCCATCGGTAAAATCCTGTGAAAGTAAAAAATCGACCAATTAACTCTGAGAAATCTAAAAAATCTTCGACAAAAAGCATTCTCGAGAATTTAATGAGCAATTCTGTGGAAAGTGTCTAAAAATAGGCTAGTTTTCAAGAATTTTGAAGTATTTCGAGCAAAGACGGGAAACAAGTATTGTCTAGTTTTTTCAAAAATACTCCTATTTGAGGTTTTATTCAAGAATTTATTTGGAATTCAAACTCTCACGACTAATATCGTATCTTAGTCACAAGCCACATCATAATAGATACAGAGGAGCCTTAAGAAGACCCCGTTTCTTTCCAAGGTTTATCGAGAACAGCTCTTCAGAAAACCTTGAAACTTTCAGAGTAGATAGATCTCAATGAGTAGAGCAATAGTTGTCATGGACTCAAAATTCTCCTTGCTTCTTTCACGAGAATATAGAAGTCATAAGGGTAGAAAAAAGGGTCCCATAATTGCCCCCATTTCTCTGAGAGAGTATGTTTATTTGAGCTGAAACTTTTTCTACAGATACACGACATTGTTTCAGGGGCTACTTTTTTGATTTCTTTCTATCTCGTATCGTTCGAATAAAAATGCTCAAAAACGAAGAGTACCCTAAAAAGAGCATATTGTTTTGAATGGTATTTGTCTCATGAGGCCTGCCAAAACTCAGCGGTACAATAATTTTCAAAATAAAAAAAAATAACCACGTTAAAGCGTCAGCCTGATCGAATGTACTATGCCTGAGAGACAGGTGTGATTCTGAAGGTATCTTCTGAAAAATCTGATTTCTAGAAAACCACGAAAGAAAAAAAATCGTACTTTTCTCCTACAGCAATAGGTTTATCTTTGCGATCTTACTTTTGCTTTAGAGTTGTAGTTGAGTTCTTAAAATGTTACCAATAGATAGAGGGCACTTGCAAGCACATGTAGAGCAGATAAAACAAAACAGAAAAGATTTGAACATTCTGGGTCCAAAGAAGGGGTCCCTTTAAGCCTCTGCTGTTTGTTATATAGCCTGAAAAATAATTTTCACACAGTCAAAACTTGTAATCGTTTGTAGTCATCTCTCATACAACTATCGTAAGCATTTCTAACATATGACTAATGAAAAATAGGAATAGTCTGTGGTGACAGAAATTGGTTTTACAAACGAGTCATGCAAGTTTAAAATTCAGCTGATTATCTAGAAATAGTTTGATAGAATAGTCTATGACTATATTAAAATATCCAGCTTATATAAGACAATGATGTAGTAATAACAATGAAAAAACAAGAATAGAAGTGAGAAAGAAGAATTTTGGCTATGAAAATCAAAATAGTTTATTCGTCAGAGGATGTGGTGTGGTTATGGGTGTGAGTTTGGGTCTATCTGCAAAGAAAAACATTTTCACATCCACATCCACACCCACGCTCACACCCTACACTCGATTTGAGCGCTCATCTTTTCTTTCATGATATTATAGTTCAAAACGGTTTTACTTCTTGAATTACAGTCGACTTAATGCCAAAGCAATACGCAAAGGCTTTTAGATAAAAGATATACATCCATTGGGCCTCAGAACAGTCGAAAACGTTCTGCCGTCCCTGAAATCTAATATAATCTCGTCTGCATCTCAGATGTAAATATTGGTGAGATTCTTTGACAGATTTGCAGTCATAATGCACAAAATCATGTGATCAATCGTTTTGTTGCCCCATATAAAAACACCTTGAAACATTCATACTGGATTCTTAGATTTTTAACCTCTTGGGGACCGCTGTCTTCAGGCTGAAGACAAACAGAACGAAAGAATTTTTTTTTCGTTCTGTCCTATCGTTGAACATATGTTTAAAAAGCAGAAAATGGATAGAGGATCGTTCATTCAGTCGATGGTGATTATTGATTATTTTCTTCTAACTATGAAGAAAATATCAACTAAATTTAGTTCAATAATTATTCGATATTATGCTCCTATTTTTTAGATCATGTTATAGTTTATACTATATTTTACTATGAAATGCATCAAAACAGTCTGGATAACACAAAGCAGGTGTATCAGGACATGTCCGACAAAAATAGATAGTTTGTTTTCGAACTTGTTTCGAACGACATAATACACAGCGTTTTTGAACATGACCCTGCCGATTTTCATTATAATCTGTCTTGCCTAAATTCAAAAATAAGAACACAGATTCATTAGAAACGTACTTCAAACTTACTTGAAAAATGTTGAAATTTCAAAAGTTTTTGAGGTATATTACTATATGGCACAGATGCAATACGTTTTTGAGATGGTGTAAATTCATTCAAGGATTTTCTAGCGATTCCTGTTGATTCCATAGTATCTCGAACGAAACTATCAAAAAGATAAGCAATGGAACTCGAAAATTTTCTTACCACATTAGAAATTTCGAAAACCGAGCTTTGGAATCATACATTCGATACATGACAAAAGCATTGAAGAGAAGTCGACCGATAAAATGGATGCCCAGTTTCAGAAACCACCGATATGACTTTTTATCCATACGTGCGTGATGAAGCGAACTATCGCTTAGATCCACTCCTCCCATATTTCGATTGTAATCAATAATCGATGATGGTTTAGAAACGAATTTTTTCACACCACCTATAAATAATTTCAGAGCGTGACCAACAACAAAGCAATTAGAGTACCTTTTTCGAATCTTTCCACTTGCAAGATACCAGCTGTACCTTTCGAGTCCACCACATAGATTTCTTTATCACCAGTAGCTTTTTTGTCTAGAAATTTAATCATCAGTACTTCTCCACTTCTCATAAAGCAAGAACCAGGCGCTTTCAATTTTTTTTGAACCAACTCTTTCGGCACTCCTGTATATATACAATCATCATCACTACATAATCATAATATGTGTCTGATTTGAATGAAAATGGATTTATCTTTACCTATACTCTTCACTTTCATAATCTTGACTTTTATTGAGCATCACTTTGTTCATCTCATGAGGAAGATATGCATCATCATCACTAGATCATAAATTTAATTTGTTATTTGTATATTCATCAAAGTTGATTTATCACCTATATTCTTCACTCTCGTACTTCAAACCAATGCCGTTCAATTGATCTTCAATCTCATCGACGTCTGAATCAGGCAGATTCAGCATAACTTTTTCCTCATCTTCACTATCGCTTTCATCATCAAAAACATTCTCCTTATCCATTTTGAATATAAGACGTTGTGAACATACAAAACTATTTTTTCTATGTCATAAGACTTGTTTTTTTTTGAAACATTTTGTTTCTTTCGTATTATATAATACAGACATAATATCAAGACGACAGTACAAATCCATGCGACATAAATGATAAAATACAGAACATATATACAGCTGATTGAGAGTGACAGAACGCAAAAGAAAGCGATTTTTTAATTTTTCTCTAGCTTCGAATAGAACGCAAGAATTCTCGGGCTTCAAGAGGTTAAGAGATTCACACTAATTAGGATCCACATTTGTTTTTCAAGGATGTGAAATTTTCGTTCATGATGTCCTCTTAACAGGACCCAGACAGACCCTTCTCAACACTTTCACTGGGTTGGAATGTGACAGGGTTCATTGTTTTATTACTTAATAGAAATCCGTCAAGGATATAGCCTTGCTGATACAGTTTTTGATAATGGCTAAAAGATTCTGCATTCACGATTACGAATAAAACTCTCAGATCTCTTTATTTTTCTATTTAGAGCACACCATTTTGTATGAACGAGAAAAGTGTAATAAAACAATTAATAATTTGACCGATCAACTTGCCCGTATTCAAAGAAAGAAAGGTAAGATAAGTATTATGCTAGATTAAGTGATCACATGAGAATCATAAGTTATCTTGCAGAATTGAAAACCTCAGATCTTTGTGAACACCTTCTGAGTTAATAACCCGTTTCCTTTTTAATCATATTGCTAAATTTTCATATTTTTGAGAGTTTTTTTTTTAAGAACGGGTCGGGTTTGTTCGGCAAATTCACTGAAATGGCTTAAACAGTTGACAACGAGAAAAAATTTTAGGGATCGAATGATGTATAATGAGTGCATATTGTTGTGTTGCTTCAACTAATTGATTCTAATTACAAAGTGACAGGACATTTGATTGGAATGTCTTTCTTCTATTGAAACATAAAACATAAAGGAATGCGTTTCGTTTGTCATTTTAAGAGAATTGAAAGAAATGAAGATAAGTTTGAAGTCAATAGATTCTATTCTTTTTGTCCTATGATAATAAAAAAATTGAAAAAGTCACACAGGAATTTGTGTGAAGTCAAGTTTTCGAAGAATGCACATCTCTCCTGAAATACTTTTTCTGTTCTTATGTTGTTCCTAGGAAAATACATTTTGATGTATGCGAAGTAAAAATCCTACAATTAGCTCTAACTAACTACACGTTAAAATTGTTACAATTAAGTTTCGAAAAATCAATGACTCTCTAAAGAAAAGATTCTTAGAATGCTATCAAATCAATTGCAGAATATAGTAATGTAATATGCAACATTTTCTCATAATACACTATATAAATATTGAGTGTTGGTGGAAGTGTGCAGTATGTGAATGTTGGTTTTACTACTCTCTCAGACATGCACCTACATCTGCTCCTTCAGGATTTCTTTTGATAGAGAGTATTATATTATAGGAGCAGGAGTTTATATGATAATCTTTTGGTAGTACACAAACTATAAATGAATTAAAAAGAAACCAATTACTTTTAATTATCGTTAATGGAGCCTATAAAAGAATTCTTGTTTTTATTCGGCTCGATTTAAAGCTAAAAGACAAGGAGCCGAGTCAATTGCTAAGTGATGTAAGGTCAAAAGTGTGAAATACTGATTCAGTTAGCGTCGTTGATCACTCTTTCTTATTTATAAATCCGTCATCTTTGTTTTGCAGTTTTTTTAACTATTGTATTTAACATAGTTTTTGGATCGAGGCATAAAGAAAGCCATTTTAATCAATTGAAAGCACTAACAACGAAATTCTTTATGACTCACTCGTTAATGTTGTATATTTCATGTAGTCAGAGATGAAGTAGAATATTTCAGAAGAAAAATCATTTCAACAGTAGACAAGATTAGCTACCGTTATGACTATTTAATCCTATAATGAATGATTGAAACTATATTTTCCCAAAACTAAAGACTTCTTAGGTAGCTTTACCAAGTGTTTCTGAAGATCGAGGAATTTGAATATGCGCGTTTTCGTGTAGTTGTTTTACTATAGAAACATTGTGTTAAGTGAAAAATCAAGAATAATTGATAAGTTAGGATATTCCATGAGGGAAAAAAATCTGAAGTTTTGATTAACACCATTTGCTTTCGTCTTTACTCGTCCCTAAATAGAACCCTAATCATTTGTTTTTGCCTGTAAATTGATCCATTTTAAATGTAAAGTTCATAAAATATAAAGATACGTGTGAATTATATTTTTCGCTCACTTGTAGGTTGTTTTAAAAAGTCAAATCATGGATCCAGACGAATATGACCAAACGTCGTTTCTTTGTTTTTTCAACACTTCTCTATTTTGTCGTATTCTGATTATCTAAACCGTCTAGAAGTGATTGATTCTGATTTAGTATTAAAAACTGAATAGAAAAAAGTAATTTAATTGAGTTTAGGATTAATCAAAATTTTAAAAATTTGTTTTATGCAAATAACTTGAACATGTATCATCTGAATAAAGCTTTTCTCTCTTCTCCTCCTATTATATGTCGTATGTGTTTAGTTTCGAGTGAATACTACTTAATTTGAATGATGACTTGATTATTTTACTTCGATACAATATAGAATGAGTCACTATTTACTGCAATAAAAACTGTCAGTCTTTCAGTACTAACTAATCATTATCTATTAAACTCAAAATAAATCGACGAATAGAATGCTCTATATACCAGTTATATATCTTTTCTATGAAGATAAAACGATCGTTTTCTTATTTGATTGTGAGTGTGATTGAGATGAATATTTGTTAAGGGGTAATATAGTTAATTATTTTTAATATTGACTAACAGACAAATTAAAAAATTGATAAGATACTATGTGATTTAAAACTATTATTTACTTTTTACACAAGTGTATAAATTCGAGAATCCATTTATAGTCTGTATTCTAACTACAACTTATAAATTCTATACTACTGATACACTATACTTATAATATACACCAATTATATCACAAATCTAAAAGAAAGAACGCTACATGAGTAAATATGTATAGATACTCATGCCAAAGAAGGCGTATCTCTTTTTTATTACAAAAGCGACAACCATATTAGATTTGAAAATGTAGATTTATTCGACTCCTATTTTACAGTTTTCAAGTCATCTGTAATACACATTGACTTGAAATCAAACGGATGTGATATAAAATTTTCAACTTCGATTGATAAAGCTAAACTGATACCCAAAAACAAAACATGTGAGATGCAACTAGCAAGCTGTAAATCATTACACAAGAAGGCTTCATCTCGTTGATACAAGAAACATATGAACTAAAATTTCATTTTCAAATAAAACATATCAGATCAACTACTTTTGATTAAGTTATACTAAGATTGATTATGATGCAAAAACTTGCATAAAAAGAAAGCATTTTATTGATGCTATCTATCGGAGTCGTTTGACCATACAGTCAAACTTAATATCGCATAGATTTTCAGGAGTATCAGGCTGACCTCCTCTCCATGGCATCACTGTTTTTTGATCAATTTGATGAGGAATTTTAAAATGTTGCTTGAAATGTCACAATAATAATACATTACAGTAAAAACCTATTCTAATCAAAAGATGCGTAATCAAATGTTGGATGTAGTGAATCGAACAGAAATTTATTCTTGTGATAAGCATCGAAAAACTTTTTTTTACTCCAGATTAAGTATATAATTCTATGATATATTCGATGCAATACAGAATTACATCAGCAAGAAACTTATACATAATTTTATGCGAAAATAATATAGAATTGGAAACTTCCATGAATAAATATCTGCTTATACTAATATGTGCAACACGAATGTAATATGCACGCAATGCAAAATTTTCACACCAGTGAAAGAGCACATCGATTCATCTAAGGGAATTCTAGTTTGTGAATTTTGTACAAGCAAAAATCAAAGCAAACTTCGACAAGATCTAGGATTTCAAATGTCATTGAAAAAGGAGAGTCATTTTCATATGTACATGAATATCTTGTTTTTATTCGTTTTGCAGAAGGTTTTCCAAAATTATTATTCAATTCTCTATGAAGCATCCATTGAGAAAAATAAATTGTTGACATTGTTTCAATACTATGTAACTAAATAATATTTTGAACCCTATAATGGCCTCTATGAAATGGTGTATTCTTGGACTGTAATAGAAACAAGTCTTTTCAGATGAAAGAATATGACGCTCTCCTCATGAGTAGCTGAACACTATCAAATGGGCTAATCTGTGGCAATGTGTTTTACATTTATATATTTTGTTTTGAAACCTCAACAATACTCCCTTTCGATTAGATTTTATAGTAAATTTAGATTGTGGCTCCTGTGAAACAAAGTTTCAATTAAAAAATATGTCTAAAAAAAACAATACTCAATTTTCTTCTAGGCCTTATAATGCTTATAATAGCATTGAAAAAAGTGGCGTGTCATTTAAGTTGAAAAGAGTTCTTCTGTTTTGCGGTCCAGAGATGCGTCATTTCATAAACGGTGTGGGTGTGTGGGTGTGAGTTTGGGTATGGGTGGTGATAGAAGAAAAGGCCCCCACATCCACTCCACACACCCACACCATTACCGATGCAGAAACGTACTCTATGTAGTATCACATTGATCAATTAAAACTTATTCATTACAAATCTTTGATCTAAAAGCTTGCTTTTTGAATTAGAGCTGATCTTGTATTTCCTGCTGTTCATAAATCTATATTATCATTTAGTACTCAACTAAAGTGGAAGTGCCTACCATTAATGAATTTATAGTTGTTTACCTTACTACAAATGTAGTTTGCTATTGTAGAATACTATATAGATCAGTTAGAACGAGCGATTATCCTGCAATTTATTTTTTTCTATCAACGCCCTAAAAGGGACGATTATTCATGTTAAAATGCATTCATTTGTTTGATTCTTCTATTGAATGCGTTACAATACGTCACTTGCCTTAATATGTTCTTTCAGTCCGTTAAAATGCGTCAACCCAAAGTT